AGATTGATTGAGCTGCTGGTCTTCCCTTGTTTGTTTGCCACTTAGATGGCTCATGTTACAATGTTGCTGGTTGTGGAGGTTTATCATGCTCTGCTCCAAATCAAGTCAACCCCTCTGGCAGTTATGATTTTATCACCTTTTCCCACCTTGGTAGAACTACCTTATGGATTGAGCTGGGAGCAAGGGGGTGGTGAAAGACTAGGCAAGAATGTCACACAGACTCCCACTTATTCATACCTGAAGTTCAGTATCTTTTTATGAATAACCACTTGTCAGTGTAGTGTATGCCTTTGGTTGATTTTCAGAGCCCTGAATGGGTTGGTTTTGACAATTGTATCCAGTTTTATCATGGCTTTTTGGGGAGAGAAACTGCTGAACTACTCACTCCACCATACTAGAAGTCTCACCTCTGCATTGGTCATTTTTATCAGCTCCTCAGCTGATTCTGATGGCAAGTCAGGGTTGAGAATCACTGAGACAGCGTATGATTACAGGAGGATGAATCTTGATTTCATTTCATTCAGTAAGTTTATTGAACACCATCAGGCAGTGCACACAGTACTGAGTATACAAAGGTAACTTAGGCCATCCCCCTCCTTGAATAGTCATAGGCAACGGGAAAGATAGAGAGGGAAACCAATAATACAATATAACCATAGGCATATAGGGATAGGTGTCTACAACCTATCATTTTTTCTGAAACATGCTGATAGGTTGTCATAATTTTTTTAGAAAGTAATATAGCCATTAAGTAGATCCATACTTAACATAAGTGTGAATAAAGTTACTCATCCTGGGGAACTAGGGCAACATAACTTTAAAGAACTAGCATTTTACTTCATGTAAAGTTTAATGAGTTTTTTAATGCTTTATTTTTAATTGAACTGTGATGTGAATAAATCAATTGATGTGAATAAATTCAGGAATAGCAAATCAACATCAGAGTCATTATGGGAAGTGTGACATGGTGTTGTGGTTCCCAAAGTGGGGAATCCATGAAGGCAAGCCATGGAAGTGTAGGAAGAAATATGAGCACTTCTGTATTTTTTTAAAAGTCAAATTTGGCCCATAAAATTTTTCTGTTGATTGAATATTTCATAAAGTGAGAATATTTATACAGCAGTATATGTGTAGAATTTATAAATAGGTGGCATGCCCCCAATATTTTTGGATTGAGAGGACTCAGTCACAAAAGTTAGAGACTACTGCTGTAGTGGAAAGAGCACTAACCTAGGTGGATGCTAGTCCTAGCTCACCTACCAACTTGCTGTATGAACCTGGGCAAGTTACAAAGATATTCCAGGTCTTCCACATCTATAAACTGAGTGTGGTATAAATATCCCGGAGATCTCTTCCAGTTCTGTGATTCTATAATTAGTTTTGTTCTTGCTATTCCTGTTAAGAATAATTATGAAGTTGTAAGAGCAGAAGGTTATGTCGTTTTTGTTGTTGTTGTTGTTCAGTATTTGAACTGGATGGAGGTGCAAGTCTATTTCTGAGTCCCTGGAACATTTACAGAAGGAGCTGTCTGTACCTGAGCTACATCCCTTCTCTGTGGTGCTGCTGGTCATAGGTGTGATGATGTCATACACACCATGATATTTCTTTAAATTCTGCTAACTTTAGACATATTAAGAGGACATACCACAATTAGTAGCAGAGTACAGGTAGATGTACTTAGACACAGTTACAGACACATGGGTGCACCATGCACACGCAAATCAATCCTTACCTATAGCTTAATTTCCCTGCCTTCATAAATTGAAGTTCAGAAAGATTCAAGACATAAAGAACATCAAATTTAGGGTTTTTTTAAAATTTTTATTTATTTTTGGGTGTGTTGGGTCTTCGTTGCCGCACGTGCACTTTCTCTAGTTGCTGCGAGCGGGGGCTACTCTTCGTTGCAATGCACGGGCTTCTCAGTGCGGTGGCTTCTCTTGTTGCGGAGCCACCGAGTGCATGGGCTTCAGCGGTTGCAGCACGTGGGCTCAATAGTTGTGGCGCACCGGCTCTAGAGCACAGGCTCAGTAGTTGTGGCGCACGGGTTTTGTTGCTCTGAGGCATGTGGGATCTTCCTGGACCAGGGGTTGAGGCCGTGTCCCCTGCATTGACAGGGGGATTCTTAACCATTCTTAACCTCTGCGCCACCACGGAAGTCCCGTTAAATATAGTTTTAATAGTTAAAAGACCCACATTGATCCATACATATCAAGTTAAGTGTCCACTCAGAAACTGACTTATAAGACAGAGTATTATTTTCAAAATTTAGATACAACTAAAAGCCCAAGAGGTTAGCAAGCCCTTATTTAGCTCTTTGATGTAACTTCAAAGAAATTTAAATTAAAAAAAAGAAATTTAAATTTTACATATTCTATTGAACTTCTCTAAAAACATTATTTGACTTTAAAATTCAATAGAGTAAGATGTTAGACTTCAGTGTTCCTGGGTCATAACAAAATAGACATGGCTTTCCTTCAAATAATTAGTTACACTGATTATTGCATAGTCAGTTCCTTAAAACTTTGTTTCTCTGATTTCGTTTTGTTTGTTAACTTCGATAAATGACTTAGCATTACCAAATAGTCTGTTGGCACAGTATTTTAACATCTAATCCTTCACACACTTTTTTTGTTAGGATTCAAAAGCTTGAAGAAACTTTAGAGAGCATAACAAGTGTTTGATATTTTCTAAATACTTTGGATTTTCTAAATAATACTATATGATATATGATTTTCTAAATAATACTATATAATACATAAAATCATAATGCTTTTTTGAAGCCTTTTGTTCCAAATGAAATATTATGTGAAAACTGATGATAGTACCATGAATCTTTACCATAAAGTTTAACTATTAAAAATCATCTGCTGTGATTTACTTGTGAGAATGGAATAATCACATTCTGGCACTTTCTATGTAATAAGTGAATCATTTTAAAGGTTTATCTTAAAGGGAAAATGACAGAAAAAAAAGGAACGACAGTACAAGAAAAAGAATGACAAATCACAGCTGTTTTGATATAAATAAACATTGAAAATATGAGCTCATGGGAATATGACTGCAGATAGTAGAATGAAAGTAAAAAGTAAAAAGAGCAAAAACAGAAAAACAGGAGAAAAATTAGAAAATGAAAATGTTCTATAAATAGAAAAAAATGAAACAGACTCCATAATTAATTTTATTTTGTATAGTAATGGAATTAAAGGAGTGAAGGAAAATACCACTTTAAACTTAGACCTGTATTAGCACAGCCTGTACTTTGTAACCTGCTAGGGGTATAGAATGCAATCATTTTGCTGCTGCCTGGAACAGCCAGCCAGGAACAAATTTCACTAAGCCTTCCAATTGGTAACCAATCCACAAGTTTGATTTCAAGGTTCTAACCTTTGGCATTAATGCTGATCATAGAATAAGAGCTAGATATTCACCCTGGGGGAGGGGGTAGTTAGTGGGAGAGGAAAAGGTTTGCCATTTCTGTGCTACAACTCCACTCCAGGAATTAAAGACAGTAGCCCACCCTATACTCTCAGGCTACCTTTGCACCCCCTGTACTTCCTAGAAGCCCTGCAGGTCTGTGTTACTTGCTTAGCAGGGGATAGGATTATTTGCATTATTATGTATCCATTTTGTACTCTGTATATGTGCTGTCTTCTTTTGATTTAGGTAATCTCTTTGCTTTTGCTAATGCTTTTTAAAGACTGGAAAGGATCAAGGTTTGGACACTTTGGAAGGTTTTGCTGTTTTAACTGGGCAGCTGGCTTTTTCCATGCCACACCACTCACATGCTTCACTTTCTCTTCAAATTTTCTCTACACCAGGAACCTTTTTAATATTAACTTTTAATTTTAGAATCAGTTCAAGTCTATAGAAAAATTACAAGGATAGTACAGAGAGTTCCTGTACGGCTTCCTATTGTGACTATCTTTCATTACAGTGTAGACGAGAGGCTTTTAGCCTGAGCCCATGGATTGTTCAGAGAGTCCATGAACTTTTGAAATTTATGCCAAATTCCATACATTTGAAAGAAAATGCACTTCATTTCATTCAAGAACTATATAGATTAAGGTTGTCCTTTTAATTTCATCAATTCTTTTCTCTAGGTGCAATCTCTGCTGTCATGTTTTCCATTCTGCTAACACATTTTTTGGTTTATTAGAACAATAACTACCTCCAAGTGTACACTCGCACCAGTGTCCATGGGTGGGTCGATTTTTGTGTGCAACAGCACTAGGAAAGTGTTCTTTATCAAACCTGTAATTTTCCGAGTCACTCGACGCTGTGTGTTCACAGAAAGTATATTAACTCTATTGTTTGATGAACCCAGTGTCCTTTCAGACGGAGTCTGTCTATACAACTCAGGTTGAACCTAGAGGCCCTGCATCAGAATTGCCTGGGCTCCCAATACAGAAAATCTGCCTTTGTATCAATCCCCTGGAAGCATTTGGATACACAATGTATCCAAACCATTTATGTAGACCACCTAAATTTCCAACATTAACTTAACAGCAAAGGGTATTTGGAACTATTACCAAAGCACTGCCACTTTCCCTCGAAATTTTAAGGGGGAAAAAGCCATGAAATTTGACATAAATACACTACCATGTGTAAAATAGATAGCTAGTGGGAACCTGCTGTATAGCACAGGGAGCTTAGCTCGGTGCTCTGTGATGGGCTACTTGGGTGGGATGGTGGGATGGGGGGAGGTCCAAGAGGGAGGGGATGTGTGTATGCATATGGCTGATTCACTTCACTGTGCGGCAGAAACTAACACAGCATTGTAAAGCAGTTATACTGCAATTCTTAAAAATTGCTATAGACTTATTTTTCTCTTGTGTCTAGATAGAGTGCATTATGTGAGGTCATTCTCACGCTAGCTCTAAAGATAAAAGATGCTTATAACATTAGCCGTCTAGGATTCTGTAAAACGTCCCCAAACTTAAAACTTCCTTTTATAAGCATTTTTTTAAATTATAGACTAACATTAGGGTGTTTTTTTTCAGACTTACAGATTCCAGTCTGATGTTAGAAGATTATTCATCCAAGTTGAGCCCCCAAACAAAGAGAGCCAAGAAAAGCCTTCTCTCTGGAGAGAAGAAAGAAAATCTGCCAAGTGACTACATGGTGCCCATTTTCTCAGGACGGTATGTACGGATTTTCTCCCTGGATCTGATTATTAGAAAGTGGAGAGTAAATGTTGTCAGGTAGTAATAACAATAGCAGCTGTCATTTATTGAGCACTTACTATGTACTGGTTGAGAAAGGTCTGTGGAACCTCAGAACCATGCACAGAGGGAGATGTGTTCATTGTAAAACTGTTTGCCATCACATAGGATGGCTATATGACAAAAGAGGATGATCAGCAACTTATTTCTAATTATGTAACTAGTTGAAATTAGAAGCCGAGTATTGGATGCTAGTTTTTGGACTCTATATATAGTCACTATGTTTAGAGTAGAAAGAAAGGTTAAAACTATAAAATATTGGGTGAACTAAAAGAAAAAAATCAGATGATATGTTTAGGTAGATTGGTTGCCAGTGTGGTTTTAATTATTAATCATTATGAAGAAAAAAAAGTCTTAGATAACGTAGACTAAGTAAAAGAATTGCACCATAATAATGCCTGGCTTATGTTTGTTAAATGTAAAATAGATTGCTATTTATTTTGAGGTAAAGTTCAAACAAAATAATCACTAAATCACCAGTCTGTGTAATGCCAAATTTGTTTATAATATAAACATTTTTTTGAATGATAATATATACAAAGGAATCTTGAAAGGAGACTTGTCCAAGACACCAACTTAAAGTTTAACAGGAACTTTCTGAGTCTTCCCTGTTTATTTTCCTTTGAATGGAGAATTATTCACAGAGCTAAGATGGTTCAGAATGAGGTCGTCTTCTCCAGGCAAGTGCTCTCAGGAAAATCACTAGGCAATAATGCGGCTGTAATTTTGGGACCTACTTC